GTGGCTAACTGACAGATTCAGAACAATGAAACAACCTCTGGACTCTTCCAAGTCAGGGCATGGCTAACCATAGATCAAACCCTGAAACAACCTCCAGTAAAGCCTTCACACCAGTGGCAGCTGCTTGCTTCTCATCGTTGACTTGTAATAAGATTCATTCAACTCAATGATACCAAGAAATAGAATACTCTCTGGTTGATAGCACATGACGGGCAGTGTTTGCTCTTCACTAAAGACTGGTAATAAAAATTTATTCATCTCGATACCAAGCAATAGTGTTTAATAAATTGTGAGCTATTTATAGCATTTACTTTGACAGAATATTGACTGCGATTAAATTTGTACTTGAGGTAAAACACCTTTGACAATTTTCTTCTTTTATTCAAAGCAYTAGCTTCCAAGATATCAACATTGATACGAAATTATTTCGAAGGTTTCAACTCATACAAAGAATCTTAATTTCTAAGGGAATAAAACATGGCTGAAATGGGAAAATGCTACACAATCCAATGATCATCACGTGGTCTTTTCCAGTATTGTGATTGGTGGAGGTGCGCATTCGTGGGTTTTGATTGCCTCATAAATAAGAAAGCCATATTTAGTGCCACAGTTAGTGCCTAGTGCTACACTTCCCACGCACATGAAAACTTTTGGATTGAATTTTGATCGAAAAACAACTTATAATTCAATATATAAATATTGTTGATAAATAAATAAATAAATAAATTCAATATTATAATCATTGTAATATTTGTACTTTGTAATGTGTTTGTTAGTAAATTCTGAACATCTGAATTTAGTATTAAAGGGGCTTAGCATCGCGTGCTCGTAGCCATCTGATGGTCTTATTATCGTGGGTGACAGAGGAAGGATGTGAACTGCTCTCTGRGATTAATGACATTTAATTATATATGCCCATTGGGGGAAAAGGCACCTTAAAAAGATGGATAGATGGATGAATGGAGGGAGGGAGGGAGGGAAGACGGACGAACGGACGGACGGATGG